TGAATGGGTTGTCCTAATGGTTGTCTCAATGTGTAGGCGATGTCCGCGACGGCCGAATCGGTGGTGACGGGCAAGACGTGGGAACTGTCTCTCTATGAGTTGCACCGATCGCCACAAGAAGTGGTGACCGACACCACGGAGATAGCGGTGTCGCCGCGGAGTCTGCACTCGGAGCTGATGTGTCCGATATGTCTGGATATGTTGAAGTGCACGATGACCACGAAGGAGTGTCTGCACCGCTTCTGCCAGGAGTGCATCATAACGGCGCTCAGGAGTGGCAACAAAGAGTGCCCGACGTGTCGAAAGAAGCTCATCTCGAAGCGGTCGCTCAGACACGACCCCAACTTCGATATGTTGATCTCCAAGATCTACCCCTCGCGCGACGAGTACGAGGCCCACCAGGAGAAGGTGTTGGCCAAACTGAACAAGCACCATTCCCACAACTTTGTCAACAACATCGAGGAGAGTCTTCGCATACAATCACTCAATAGAGCCCAACGTATCAAGAAGTTCAACGAAGACGGCTTCGATAGGCCCGGTATGTGTGCGAACAGCTCTCTGTCCACTCCTCTCTCGTCTCGAGTTATTGTAAACCCATTTTATTGATTGATTTACTGTTTGATCGCCAGATTCGCCGCAATCGTTGAGCGGAGACTCGACTTCATTGATGCGTAAGAAATATGTGAAAACGTCTGAAAACGACTCGACCTGTGGTTCGGTTCACGAGAACGATGGCGACGACACGGAAGGCGCGGACACCGAACGGTCGGCGGCGAGCACTCCACTCATGGATATGTCGAGCGCGTTATCGGTGTCCTCCCATTTGCCAATCTTTCACGAGATTGAACTCGTATTCAAGCCATTACCGCATCAAATGGATGATCAGGACCTGACGCTCACTCAAACGCGTTATATTAAGACCACAACCAACGCATCGGTCGACCATTTAGTCAAATACCTATCGATGCGACACATTCTCGACTCATCCAATGGTAATTCACAGCAAGACGTGAAGGAGACGGCCAGCGAGGCGTCGCTGTTCACTATCTACGTGGCCGCCGGTCCCGGACAGTACCAGCCATTGGTCGGACCCATGACTCTCTACCAAATCAACGACAAGTACTGGCGAGTGAATCGACCGCTCGAGTTATTTTACGCCTACAAAATGCAAACAACTTCATAGATATCTCACTCTTTTTCTCACTAACTTAATAAAATCATTACAAAAACAAATCCATAATTCTTTCCTTTTTTTTGTCTAACATTTATTATATATATTCTCTTATTTATTATTATTTTATATTATTTTAAGTTAAACTTAAATAAATTAAACAAAGAAAAACTCGTTTCAAATTAAATATGAAAAATAGAGTGAAAATTATAAAATGAAAACAAAATTTTGAAAAAAAAGAAATACAAAATCGATATACAATATGAAAGTATTGATTGACCAGTTTTTATGAAAAACAAAAAACAAATTAACATTTCTTAAGAAAGTCATGCATTAATTATTGCTGATCTCTGTTTTCGTCGAAATTGAATCTCTCGGGTCTCTCTTCGCCCATCGGTTCGTCCGCTTGTAATTCAAATAAGTATTTACTGCAAAAAACAAGTCATTTAAGCGATTAGTATTGAATGTAAAACATAGTCATCTCAACGACAACTCACATAAACTTTGGCGTCTCTAATATCCTGAAGCCTCCTCTCTGGTTGGGGAAGACGTCCTCCAGAAAGTAGTAGATATGTCCGACAGCTATACCCATGAGATCGACTAAAATGGCGTTTCCGAGCAATAGAGAGAAGGCGAGCAAAACCCACGGCAAATACGGCGCCTGGAAGTTGAGGAGACCGAAGAAGTTCATCCGTACGTATGGATTACGACGACTCCACACGTAGACCAACATTATGGTGAAGGCGTGGCCCAGAAATAGCAGATTCACGAAGAATGCAATGATCTATTAGTTGGTGACACAACAATTAGGTGACAATGTATGCAAAAGTGGTGGCATTTGATGGCAAATAAGACTTACAATCATAAGAATTCCTCCAATAAGAAACATGTAGAAGAAGTCGGCGGTTCGTGACCTGAAAGAGCCCTCTTCTAACATACGGCAGTAACGGTACGTAAAAATCAAATTAAACAAAAACGTAAAACCAAATGAGCCGAAGAACAAGAATGTGGTCAACAATCGCCATAACTGATCATCACATGAAAAAATGCAATCAATAAATGGTTAGACATAAGAGGAATCACATAAAATTGATGACCAAAAGACCTGATAATTGCGGAAAATAAGAATCGGATTGAAGTACAGCTGAAACGGCGATATTAAGTCCAATTGCTGTCAAAGAGATAACGAAATGAATGGCAATGAATGGCAAGACATGGCAAATGTGTGGCCGCAAAGACATACCACAGCGACAGTTGTGAGGACACAGGCTGTGGTGTAGGCGCGGGTGACGGCAGGCATAGCCATATAGTCCTGCAGTAATGTCTGATACGCGGCCATTGGGTCCGAGGCTTTGGGGTTTGGCTTCTGGTCCAGTGATATGCGGTCTAAACTTAGGACACAAAGTGTGCTAACAATCGGATCGTTGTGTGAATTGGATGTGAATTAAGTGAACAAATCATTAATCAATTCAAACGTAAACATAAATAAAGTGTCGTTTTTTTGGTAACGATTACACAGTTTTGATGACTCGCTATAACACCTGATTGGAGGCAAACACTCGTGCAATCACTACAACCCTATGACATAAGCATAGCATACACTACAGTATACACACGTTATAGCGAACGCGTACACTATAACGCTGTATATAGTGTACATTGTGTGCACTACCACTACATTGTGTACAAGACGTGGTAAACATAAACCATACGCTCAGGTCTTATCGCATATCAAATCAATTTATTTTTGATTACAATAATTGTAACAAATCTTTGTTTAAACTACGAAATGATTTTTTAAATGTCTTTTTTATCATAAATTCATTTCCCTTTAAATTTGTAAATATTTTTATCAAATTATAAGCAAAACATTAAATATTTAATTTATGAAATGCACCTTATAGATTTAGCGCAATTTAAAAGTATCTTGGCTCAATTTCTAACCATGCTATAAATCTCATTCAAAATTAAATCCATGGTTACTCTCTTACGCAATACTAATTAAGTTTACATGAATGTGCTTTATGCCGGTATATTGTAGAACGACCATGGTCAATGTATGACATGTCATTTAATATATGAAACATGATTATTAACGTCACTTTCAAATCATTTTAATTGCATTTTGTTTGCAAAGTAATTAAGAAATCAGTGATTACTTAAGTATTTCGTAAAACTTTGACAAATACCTAAACTACAGCCAAACTACACATTACAACACTAATAGCTAATTATCATATCATAACGTATCTGTAAATGATATTTCATTCACACAATCATTGATTAGCGAATAATTTAATCATTTAATAAAGAGTTTAATAAAAATAAGTTATAATTATTACAAAATGTATGACAAATGTAAGCAAAAAATGATTACAATTTTCGTATTAAAACTCAATGAATGAATGGATAGAGAAGTGCATTGAAAAAAAGGGATTGGAGTGAGTGTTGAGTGCATTGAGACATACAGTGAGAGAGGGATAGAGAGATATAGTGTGGGAGAGAGAGGGAGAGGCGAGAGGCGAGAGAGCGTAGGGATTGCTATTTGAGCATTGGTTACAGCGTTAGTGAGTGTTTGTGTGCACCCATTGGCAGACACTGTCAGCCATCTTGTTATCCAAGCATTCAATGAATGTCTGCACTAATGTTATCAACACATCTCTGTCACCACAACATCACTCAAACACATCGTCGAGTCCAATGGTAAGCACATCCACACCACCACAACCGCCACAACCAGCACTTCATACCCGAACCCATCACTCACTCATTCCCTATCCATACTATCCCTGTCTTCGGGCCGACCATTGCATGCAATCGATGCCGTCATTCAATGGATCCATACTTTGATTCAATAAACAAGTGATTGTTTTGTTGTTATTTATTTTGTCTAATGATTTACTCTTATGTAGAGTTAGTGTTAATTGTTTGCATTAATTGTGACAATCATTTATTTAATGAATCATTTTGTTGATTACTAATTGTTTGATAAGAACTGGTTTTTGATAACTCATTGTTTACATTGTTTGCTATAATTGGCGACAAAATGTGTGCTTTAATTACATGTCAATCGTTTGTTAATTATTTTTAATGCTTTAATTTATTTGTCATTTAAAACAGATATGTATTGAAAAAATGATAGACAATAATGTGGTGTAAGTGTTGATCGACCGGACATTTAGTGAACAACCGGTTTGTTTTGAGGCATTTCGTGATACAAATCGCCTCAAATCACAAATCACTTAATTTGAGTCATGCCTTCGTATCCGAGGTTTGCATAAAACCCTTTCATTTGACAATAGTTTTATTGTAATGAAAATTGCCGTCCAATGGCTGTTAGGGTCGGGAATCTTAAAGATCCCGAAGTGTCACTTCTGTTCGACAAAGAAGATCCCGACAAGATCTTCGCCGATCTAAGAGAGATTGGACACGGAAGCTTCGGCGCCGTCTACTATGTATGTCTTCATTGTCCAACTTATATACCATTGTTTTACTCTCTTGTGTCCAACCCTTAGGCCAGATATGCGAACACCAAAGAAGTGGTTGCCATCAAAAAGATGTCATTTACTGGCAAACAATCGGCTGAGGTTTGTGTTAACATAACTGTTGTCAATATTGTGGAATCAATTGTGTTTTTGTTTGTCCAGAAATGGCAGGATATCCTTAAAGAAGTCAAATTCCTCCGTAATTTAAGGCACAAAAATACTATTGAATACAAAGGCTGTTATCTGAAGGAACACACGGCATGGCTTGTAATGGAGTACTGTTTAGGTTCGGCTTCGGATATAATTGAAGGTATTTTACATTTGGATTTTGTCTAAAATATTTGACGAAATAACGCAATGAATGGTGTTTTCAGTGCATAAGAAGCCTTTGCGTGAAGACGAGATCTCTGCCATATGTAACGATGCCCTCAATGGTCTCGAGTATCTCCACTCTCAGGCCAGAATCCATCGGGACGTGAAGGCCGGCAACATATTGCTCACCGAAAACGGAACCGTAAAGTTGGCCGACTTTGGCTCGGCGTCGATGGGCTGTCCGGCGAACTCATTCGTGGGAACGCCGTATTGGATGGCACCGGAAGTGATATTGGCTATGGATGAGGGCCAGTACGACGGCAAAGTGGACGTCTGGTCGCTGGGCATCACGTGTATAGAACTGGCCGAACGAAAGCCGCCCTATTTTAATATGAACGCCATGAGTGCCTTATATCACATCGCGCAGAACGAGTCGCCCAGTTTGAACCCATCCGGCGATTGGTCTGATTTGTTCAGGAATTTTGTCGAGACGTGTCTTCGCAAGAATCCATCCGATCGACCGAATTCTACCAGCATTTTAAGAGTACATTCATTACCACATTTCTATTGAATTGAACCCAAAGTGTTAAATGTGTTTTTGTTATGTGATTACAGCATAGTTTTATAACCCGTTTGCGATCTCCGACTGTTATATTTGATTTGATCAGCAGAACGAAGGCTGCGGTCCGAGAGTTAGACAATTTGAACTATAGGAAGATGAAGAAGATTTTGATGGTTGACTCCCGAGACAACGACTTCTCACATTCGCACGACGGCGACAATGATATACCCGTAATGTCTCACAATTGGTGTAATTTATGTATTGTATGACTAAATGTTTGTTTGACGGCATAGGAGGACGAATTGGTTGCCAATAATAGTAAAAGCAATTCAGTCGCGAGTTCTCACAGTCGCCAAAGCGGAGGCATAAGCGCCGGAAGTCAAAGTAGTAGTACAAGTAGTTTACCCGCAAATTCCGAGGGAGACTCCACTTATAAATGTCCGGTTTCTTTGAGGCGTGAGAGTGGGAGTAGTGTTAGTCGTGTCAGTCCTTCTGTAAGTTAAACCCAAATTGTTTAAAATTTTAATACCGAAGATATTTATACTAATAATATGTTTATGGTTTGCGTACCAGAACTCGAGTGCGAGTCTGAATAGCACCGAATTGGGCGCCAATAACTTCGCTACTCTGCGGACGACGTCTATCGTCACCCGACAGCTCAAAGAACACGCGAAGGAGAACCAAATGCACGAACAGATGTCCGGTTATAAACGTATGCGACGATCGCATCAGAAAGCGATCGTTCAATTGGAGGCCAAATGTCGACAAGAAATAGAAGAACACAAACAAAAGTTAGACAAAGAATACGAAACATTATTACAACAATTTAGTAAAGAATTAGAAAAATTACAACAAAGACATCAACAAGAATTGGAAAGGAAGGTATGTTCGCATTCACGCCATGTCTTTCACCACCGATTGTTGTCTTCATTGTAAATGTTGTTTTGATTTTAGTTGAAGACAAACGTCGCTTACGAGCGAAAGCTAAGCAAAGCTATCCTTCAACAGCACGAGGAAGAGCTGAAGAGATTTCAATTGCAACAAAAACACGAATACAAGTTCGTAAAGGAGAGGTTAAAGCGTGAGTTGAGTAGCGATCCGACTAGCGAAAGCTAAGCAAAGCTATCCTTCAACAGCACGAGGAAGAGCTGAAGAGATTTCAATTGCAACAAAAACACGAATACAAGTTCGTAAAGGAGAGGTTAAAGCGTGAGTTGAGTAGCGATCCGACGACACTTCGCAGCCAAAAGGAGAGCTTACAGCGCAATCAGGCGTCGACTCTGGAAAGGCTACAACACGAACACCAGGAATACCACAGACAGGAAGTGCGCAAATTTCGTAGACGTAAACTCATTCAATACCATCAGTTGGAAAGAGACCTTCTCAGGGATGAGCTGAACAAACGACAGAGTCAGTTGGAACAGGCGCACGGAATGCTCATTAGACACCACGAGATCACTCAGGAGCTCGAGTACCGCCAGCAAAGGGCTGTCCATCAGCTGCGCGACGAGCAGATCCGGAAACAACACCAAACAGAATTGGCTAATCAACAGGAATACAATCTGAAGCGCGAGAACGAGTTGCGCAAAAAGCACGCCTTAGAAGTGAAACAACAGCCAAAAAGTCTCAAACAAAAGGAGTTACAGATTCGCAAACAGTTCCGCGAGACGTGTAAAACACAGACACTTCAGGTATTGTCTCGAGTTGTCTCTTCAGGTCGTCTATTAACTGAACAATTGATATAATTTAATTAATGTATGATTTTTAGTATAAGGCGTGGAAATCTCAGATCTTGAGCTCAACTCCAAAAGATGAACAAAAGAATGTGATTAAAAAATTAAAGGAGGAACAGGTCCGCAAACTGGCACTCCTGGGGGAGCAATACGAACAAAGCATTGCAGAGATGCTTCAAAAACAATCGGTTTGTGCAACATTTGAATTGACTAATTGCTCGCAAACTTACTAAACATATGATTATAAACAACAGATACGCTTAGACGAGGCCCAAGAGCTGGAAGAGCGTCAACTCAAAGAGCAATTGCAACAAGAATTAGAACTTTTGATTGCCTTTCAAAGTAAAATCCGAATGCAATCCGAGGCTCAGAGGACTAAAGAGAGACGAGAACTCGAAGAACGAGTTTCCGTCAGACAGTCATTGCTGGAGAAGAAGGTATGAAATGATTTGCTGTGTTGTATATTATCGTTAGAATGTGGTAATGAATGGATGACATAATCCCTAATCAGATGGAGATCGAGAAACAGCAGTTTCAAGACGAGAGGAATGAAAGACAACGACTATTACTGGAACGTCAGGCCAACGAAACGGAGACGTTTGATATGGAGAGCACGCGTCAGGGATTCAACGCCTTAGCGATAGCCGAGGCGTCCATCGATGGTATGGGCGAAGATGAAGCTTCGGTGAGCGGTTCGATGCTGTCATTGGCTCATAGCAATAGTGCCACGTCTTTCACGCACACAGCCCTATAGCACACACCGACCACAGCCGCACCTCTAGATTGGCCCCAACACTAGCCGTGCATTCACTGTACATAACATTTTGTTGCGATAAATCCGATGGTCTGATTGCCATCGGAATTGACGACCAAAATGAGAACCTCGTGTGTCGTCAAAGAAATGCTCAGCCATTATGTGTGGTGTCGTTCAGCCGTCGTTTGCTCTACTGTTACGTTGAAAGAACTCTTGATTTAGAATTATATATAAATTATTTATATTTTGAGATCAACTCAAGAATTAAAAGTGTTTCCAAAAAGTTGGTCTTCCATTGACTGTAATTATGAGAATACTATTAAGAAAATTGATTGATTAGTGCAATGATTAGTGATTTATAAATAATAATAATAATAATTTTGTTCCAATTCTTGTCGGTTCGGATGAGACGACAGGACAGTCATATCGGTTTGTCTCTCAAGTCTATTCAACACTACTTACAGTTCGTATTATTATTATTATTATTGAATATATTCTGTCGATAAGGAATCGCTTCTTCGTCGACAGAAATGCCATCAAAATGAGTGAAAAACGCATTTTTATATATTATTGTATAACTTATGTAAAGTAAATGCATTAACAAAACAATGTTTTACCTCTTTTTTAATTATTTGATAAGTTGTCGAAACCGTCGGTCGTTTGCATTGTTGTGAATAAATAAAACAAACACTAATACTATTGGTTCGGTTCGACAGCAGAGTCTGCTATTAATTTAAAAATTAGTTTATTTGTAACAAACAAATCGATTTTCAAATAGATTTTAGTTTAAAAATCTAAGAATTCTTAATATAATTAAAACAAATCTCTAATAATTTAATAATTAATAAGGATATGAATTCATGAAAACTTTTGTCACTTTTTCATATTTTTCTGTTTATTAAAAAAGTTGAATAAATTGATGCTATGATTGCAATCATCGATGCATTTGTTGTTAATTTATTTGATTTAGAGTTTATAGTCATATAATTTACATTATTTATCATATTTTCAAATACTTTTGAATATTTTGTAAATACGTTCAGATTTGAAATAATTAGTCAAAACTGTAGTGAAAGTAGTGCTGATGTATAGAATGATGTGTTTTGAATGCTGGGCTCATTTGACGGGATCCTCAATGATTTTGGCGGCAATCGATAGATTAGGTCCGGTCTTCCATTGGGCCTCATTCTCGTCAATAATAGAGGTCTCGATATTGATTGAATACAAACCGATCACTGGAAGTAAGAGCAGGAACTGCACCTGAAAGTAGTCGTTAAGCGGGTAGACAACAGACTGTAGCGATACGTTGGTGTCGTTGCTCTTCAATGGCTCGACGTTGCGGTCATTATTGTTGGCCCGAGAGATGAGCACTCCGTTCACACAAATCAATACTTTGCCCACATTTCGGATCACTTTCTGGTTCTTAACGTTGACGATAACGCCTTCGATGCGAAGCGCAAAATGTGTATTACTATTGATTAGTAACACATCTGAACCAGACTTGGGCTGCGGAGAGACCGCCAGTTTTATACAAGTGTTTTGTGTGGACTGGAAGTAGAATCGGGGGAAAGAGAGCGGCGCCCGAAGTATTTGCGAACTGATTTCCATCAACAGTGATATCTGTTTGCTTCCAATCAAATCGTTTGTTTGGATTGCATTCAAGTCTTTGTGAATGAGTGTCGATATTTGGCTACACATGTGAATGAGTGGTCTGTGTTCTAAAGGGGAACAATTGATGGCCAGTTCGGCGTTTCCCTCGAATGGACTCTCTTTCGAGACAACCATTGAATTCAAACGATTGCTTTGGAAGAGGTTTTCGATGGCTTCGGCGAGGATTACGCAACTGTTCTGAAGTAACTGTATTTGCGCTAAAGTGTTGACGTCTGCGTTGAACGACGACTGGTATAACAAACTGTACGCTTCGGCCACCGAACGGAACTCTTTGGCCGACCGTCTCATCGCTATCACTATATTTCCACACTTTAACAGATCGTCTCTTGTGGTGAGCGCTGTGGAGGCGGCGATCGCCGGCGGAGGCGACGTCCGGATCAGTTGACAACACTGTCTAAAGTTGTGATGCGTTTGAAGGTATTTGAGTCGAAGTCTAATGAATTCGCACTGAAATCGCATCGGATTGTTGGCAGAGATCGAGGCTTTCAAGTGAGTCAAGCCTTCGATGTATAGTGAGATCGAAGTGCAAAAGTTTTTGTCCAATTCGTCCACATTTTTAATGAGAAAACTCTCGGCCTTTGATATATTGGCCAAACTTTTCATCCAAAAGTGATTGCTTTCAATCGGTTCCATATGTGCCAGAAGTCGGTCCAAAATCATAGCAGCCATCAAATGCTGGCCGTAACGCATCGACTGGCGAACCATTTTATAACAGCTCCAGAGGTCGCGACCTTTGAATGAAGACAACAAACTGTTGGCCACCTCTTCGTTGATTTGTGTGCTTTGATGTAAATTGATTTGAAAATATACTGTCAATACATTCAAGTAGTTTGTATTGTCACTCGATTTGGGACTCGTTTTGATTAACTCAAGTATGTCTTCGGCAACAAAAGTTTCGTTTATGGAAAGGGTTGAGACAATAGCGCAGATCACTCGTGAGGCGCATCCAAACCAAAGCGAATCCATTTTGACATTCATTATAACGAATCTCAGAGTTTCTGTCATTTGAGTGATTGATGACAACTTCGGGGACCGACAGATCGAGAGAATACACTTAAATATAGTCTTCACGCCATTGCTCTCCTCTTCGGTGTAATTGTCTTCATTAGAAGAGATGCCCCACAAGAGGAACGATTGAATGGCACAACAGGTCTCTTGCATGACATCCATATCTATAACACATTTAGAGCTGAGATTCAGCGAAATGTTAATCAAAATGCAAATACAAGTGGAAATGAGTTGAATATTGTGTTCGCTGTCAACAGTTTTGATGCAAAAGTTAATCATTTTTAGACACAATTCGCTGTAATATTGGGGTTCGTCTGAGAAGAGTGTCGGAGAACTCGACAATTCAGACAAAACAGACAACGCTTTACACAAGAGATTTGTATCCCTTTTGGAGCCGTTTTTGTCCTTAAGATTTAGTATGGAATCGACTAAAGAGGAAGCGCTTCCCTTTTGCCACAAATGAGGACTGTTTGCGGCCAAACATTTCAAATCAGACAAAACCGATAGCTTTACGTTATTTCGCGGATCATTCGTGAAGTATTCGAGCAATACATGGATTTGATCGGGAATTTGAGTCAAAGACACGGACGCGATGTGTGTCAACACATGTAAGTCATTGCACACAAACTGTTCCGACGGATAAGTGTTGAGCATTTGAAGACAGTTTTGTCGCACTTTATCGGCCACTTCGCAGTCAAAGTGGATGTTATGCAAGACTAACAACAGTTTGGTCTTAATCTCCAACGGAGTCGTCAAACCGTTGATCATTGAGAAGATCTTCGGATAGATATTAGCGGCGAATTCGTCGGACTTCTCGGCAAAACTGGCGGACGCCTCGATTGCGGCCAACACTTCCATCTCGTCATTGGAGTCCAAACTGTTGCGGATGTAGTGATGAATAGACTTGCGGTGGCGGACAATGCGGGCCATATTGGCCAGCGTTCGCAGAGTTATACTTCTGGCCAACGGGTCGTTAGAGAAGGTGACGGCGAAGAGGCGGCGAACAAACTCATCGATGTTCACGATTTTGTCCAAATGTTTCTCACTTTCGCGCATCACCTGAAGGATCA